CACGGGCTGGTCCCTTGCTCTGAGCTGCCCCCCCCCGCCCCTCCCTTTCCAGAGTGCAACGCCCCGGCGCCCTCCCCATCTCTGCCATGGTCCTCCCAGTGCCAGGCCTTCCAGCTCCAACACAGTCTGGCTGGGCCTAGAGCTCACCACCTGCCCCTGAAGTGAGGTGCACGGCCCTGCTCCTGCCCCAGGGCTCACCCTTGCACGTGCAAGTGCATGCACGGTTCCTTGCACGCGCTCCCTCACAGCTGTGCACACACCCTCACGCATGCACGCTCATGGTCCCTCACGCACATGTGTGCACACGCTCACGGTTCATCACGTGCACGTGCACAAACACTCACTCATGGTTCCTCACGCACGGTCCCTCACACACAAGTGCACATGCACTCACGCTCACAGTCCCTCGCTCATGGTCCCTCACATGTGCACACACCCACACACATGCTCTTGGTCCCTCACACACGGTCCCTTGCACACACATGCACACACCCGCATGCTCATGATCCCTCGCTCACGGTCCCTCGTGCACACACCTTCATGCACGCACATTCACAGTCCCTCACGCACACGTGCACAAAACTCACGGTCCCTTGCACACGGTCCCTCATGCACACGTGCACACAGCTCACGGTCCCTTGCACACGGTCCTTCACGCACACGTGCACACAGCTCACGGTCCCTCATGCACACGCGTACACACCCTCACGCACGCTCATGATCCCTTCTCCCCGCAGGTTCCATAACGTGGGGATCCTGGTGCTCTTCTTGCACGACATCAGCGACGTGCAGCTGGAGTTCACCAAACTCAACGTCTACTTCAAGCACCGGGGCGGGATCTATCACCGGCTCAACGACGTCATCTCCAACCTCGGCTTCCTCACCTTCAGCGTCAGCTGGTGAGCTCCGCCCCGGCCCCGGCATCCCGGCCAGCCTCACGGTCCCTCACACACACGTGCACACAGCTCACGGTCCCTCATGCACACGGTCCCTCACGCACACGTGCACACAGCTCACGGTCCCTTGCACACGGTCCCTCACGCACACGTGCACACAGCTCACGTTCCCTCATGCACACGCGTACACACCCTCACGCACGCTCATGGTCCCTTCTCCCCGCAGGTTCCATAACGTGGGGATCCTGGTGCTCTTCTTGCACGACATCAGCGACGTGCAGCTGGAGTTCACCAAACTCAACGTCTACTTCAAGCACCGGGGCGGGATCTATCACCGGCTCAACGACGTCATCTCCAACCTCGGCTTCCTCACCTTCAGGGTCAGCCGGGGCACGCC